AGGGTGTTTCTTCCACAGTAAATAGTATCAAAGCTTTTTCCATGTCAATATTAAGCCATTTGTCAACTATTTCTCAATGTAAACGTTCTGACATAATTTTTAGTCGTTTTCTTCTGCATTACAACAGGTAATTTTAGTTATCTTCTTAATATTATTAACGTGATTGGTTTCGAGTAATTTATTCATGGTTATCTGACTTATTGATTATGCATTGACTTATTAATTATAATGTATGTGTAATTATTTAGTTTCTTGCTTGACTTATTGATTATGCATTTAATTGATGGTAGGAAAAAATGATAAGAGCTGCAAGATGAAACACCAACAGGGGAAAGTGAAAAAACAGAAGCAAAAATATGTGAGAAAGTTCTGGGTAAAGCTTCCGGATTTAATCAAAATTTTGAATTTTCACACACTAAGCATCATGATACTGCAGCAGAAGCAGAGTTAAAGTTGCATAGTACAACAAGAAGAAAATAAGATTAAACAGTTGGAGGAGCAACTCGTCTTAGTTGATCAACAAAAACATAAAATAAAAAGCCTTGAACAACAACAATTTGTCCTGTTGGAGATGATGCAGCAGCTAACTATAGCCCTTGAACTACAACAATCTAATAAAGCTCCAACTCGACAGCCATCGTCATCTCCAACTGCTAAAGACTCGTCCTTATCAACTACAACTATTTCAAAAACCTCAACTGGTGACACTTGAGATGCTCTAGATATTGATGGTTAGTTTTTTGTTGTATAGGCAATATATATTTTGACATGGGGGTAGGATCATCTTTTTAGGATTGTTTGCATATATATGTTAGATAGTGTACATGGGATGGGCATTTTTTTGTTAGTTATGCACAGATAGATAGCTAGTGATGAAAATGTGGGTGCATACCTTTGTTTTGGTTATGCACACCTAATAGTGCATTTTGAATTTTTATTGCTCTTAAGTGATAAAAATTCATGTATGGACTATATATATGAAAATATGATATTTGATGTTAGTGTTCAGATTTTTATATTGTGATGGATTATTTTGTTGATGTTGAATGTATAAACTAGGTTAATACAAAATGCTTTTGCCACTAATTATTTTCTAAAAAAAAAAACATATTTTGCAATTAATTTTTTAATTGCAAACAGTAATTTTTCATAATTGAATTTCACATTCAGCGTCTAAAATTATAAGAATTAACCACCAAATTTTGGTCATTAAAAGATACATTCGTTCAGTAATAAAANTGTTTATAGGTTTAGGAAGTCTAACAATAAGTAGAGGAATTGTAGGAGTTAGTCTTGGGTCGAACCAAATCCATAAGGGCAACGCCTTTAATATTGTGTTTTAGTTAGCAATTTATTTTATGCTTTTAATTTCCTGTAATTAATTAGTTTCCTTAGTTTTAATCAATCAATTTGCCAATTTCATTTCCGATAACTTGAATACACATTAGGTTATCAGTTTTTGCTCCCTTTGGATTCGACCTTGCTTACTGCTAACTACGGTACTTAGGTTAATTTTGTTGCCGTGATGACCGGTTCGACACTACATTTTAATAATAACAAAATGTGATCTAGGGAAGATGACTATTTGCATATAGGTGGAAAATGATTGTCAAAGAGGGCTATTTATTAGTGTTGCAGTTTAAAAAGGAAATGTCAAAGGCAATGCTTGGTTTGCCTTAAACGCAATTGTTTGTTCTCACATCATAAAGTGATTACTTTCAATCTTAAAATTCTCTACTAAAAAGCAGAAAGGAGATTAATTTTGGAGGGAGTATCAATTTTTGAGTGTGTCTAAAGAGTTAAAAATTACAGTGTTTGACAATTTATGTAATTTAGCAACATCTGCTAAGAAACAATGTAAACTCTCAATCAACTTGTACATAAAAAAAATTATAGAATACTAGAACAAAGCGCAAGTTCATTCTACTGTCGAGCTTTGATGTTGTTCCTTAGAGCAAAAGCAAACGAAAAATCAGCTTGCCCATGAATATGGTTATTTAACCCAGTGTTAAAGCTAACCTTCGAGTTATGCATCAATGGTTGTCATGAAGTGTCGTGGTGAGCCCATTAATAGCATAACAGTTTTCAGTCCATTCACTTCAAGAAAAACTACATTCTGCAACCAATTTTTTAGCAACTAACTAGAACTAGTTACAGAAGGCTATATTTACCAACTAAATTGCGATTGGTCAGGCAAAGAGGATTAAAATTTCGGGGTCCACACGTTCCAACTTTTGGTGTCTAAAGTTAATGTTCTACTACTATTTTGTTAGTCGTAGAACATGTTGTTTTAGTGACTAATAAATTTAGTTGCAATTTTTAGCGGCCGATTTTTCCCTCCATAATTTGACAATTTGCATTTAAAATATTATATTTTGCGTCTACATTATTGGTTATGAAAAACAATTTTTTGCAACTATCCCTTAGTAGCTAAATTAGTTGCAAATAATTAGGAATTTATTAGTAATTATTATGATTAGTTACAGAAAAATGAAATTACCATAATATCCCATATTTGGACAATAATTACAAGGGTCTTAAGGTATTTTTAGCTACCGATGTTTGTGTTCATATTAACAATAGTTGCAAAAAATTATATACAACAACTAAATTCGGTTTAGTTGCCAATTTTAGTTGAAAAATTCATGTTCCCCCCAAATTAGCGTGTTCCCGCCAGACTTCAATTATAAGCAACTATGACTAATGCTTTCCTGACTAAATATTTAGTTACAAATTGATTTGTTTGCAAAATATAATTATATTTAAAAATTAAAAAACTAATTAAAAGCCTTACTTTTTAAAGTTATTTACAAAAAACCCTAACCTTTATAAAGCAAGCCTTTCCCCAAATTCCCAATCTCTTCTCCCCGCAATCCCTAGCTATTTCCCCAAATTCCCAATCTCTTTCCACGCAAATCCCTAGCTTTTCCCCAAATTCCCAATCTCCTAACCTCACCTAGCTCTTGTCTTCTCACACACAATCCCCCACCAACTAGCATTCGAAATAACAAGAATAGCGAACTGGAGCGAGCCTATATAATGTAAAAAAGCAAATTGTAACCAACATCGTCATCGAGAAGAGAGTAGCGAACAAGCAAGCTCCTGCGTCTATAACAGATCCTACAGTTTCAGCTTCGATACCAGTGGCTACTTAAACTAAGCTCTTGTTGAAGGGAAGGGTTCCAGACTAGCCTTAGAACCAACCTCAGACCATTCTCAAGAACCTAGAAGTGACAAGAAGAGAAAGCTCTCTCTATGAGCTAGAAAATGAGTCAACATTCGTCCAACTATTTAGGTAAATTTCCCCAAATTCCCAATCTCTTCTCCAGCAAATCCCTATCTATTTCCCCCAATTTCCCAAACGATGTGCGTTGATTTCAAATACTTGATTTTTGTTGATAACTTGTGAAATGGTTTATCTCGGATAATTTTTTTGAAAGTGTGTTTTTGTTTTGCATTATTTTTCCATCACCTTCTTGTTACTGTAATGTTTCATTGATACTAAAGTCGGTTACTCTTCTTTTTTACTGTGGTTTTTCTCTTTTTTGTTTGGGTTGACTTATCTCCTTTATGAACTTATTAATGTAGAAACCAAACCAAACCAGAATCGAAGTGGTTTTCAGTTATCAAGAAAATCGATTCGGTTTTGGTCCATAGAAATAGAGGAAAACTGAATTTTCGATTTTTATAAAAAAAATTAAAAAATAAACATTTTTTCGTTAAAATAAAAAAACAATTTAAATAAAAAGATTATAAATTGAAGTTAAGAAAATCAAAACTCAAACCCGGTTTAAAAAAAGGAAAAGAATATAAATAAAACAATTTTTCCCACCTCAAAATTTTCACCAAGGCAAATTCTCCCACATTTTCATTTAATCAAAGCTAAGGTTATAAACTATTAGAATAACCCATTTCTTCTACGAAAATTCCGGCACCCAAAAACTCATTCTTCCGCCCAAAAACGAGAAACATTTCCCCCTCTTTCGCCCAAAATCTCTCTTTGTCGCCCTTCCACTGAATTGCAGAGGTTTCTCGTTGCAACAATCATTCTTCCCAAATCTTTTCAATCAATCTTTAATTGCTCTTTTCTTCTCAATCTTCTTCTCGTTGGGATTTGTCTAATTGGTCTGTCCTTCTCAATCTTCTTCTCTTTGCGATTAGGGCAAAAGGTTGAATGGATTAATCAATATGGGCTGTTGAAGAGAAGAAGGGTTTGTGAAGGAGAGTTAGGGCATTTCGGTCATTGTGAAGCTGATCTGTGTGGGAACAATGAATCTTCAGATTGTGTGGAAACTATTGATAAAGAATGTGGTGGAAGATGAGTAATGAAGGTGGCCATTACTGTTTGAAAAAGAGTGATGATATTTGCTGTGATGTTTGTGGCCAGGTATTTGTTTTCCACTTTTTAAATTTATTTATTTATAATGCTTTCATTGTTGTTATAAAGACAAGCTTTGGGGGTGTGTAATTTTTAATTTTTTTTAAGTTCTTAGTTTTTAGCGTTGCTAGTTGCCATTAAAATGAGTTTGATGTGCCTTTCGTTGCAGCTTTGGATGATTTTTTGGATTCAAGTTTTGGGTGATTATTGTTCTTTAAAAAGATAAATAAAATAAAACCCTTCGTTTTTATTACTATTTTTAGGTGTTAGGCAAGCGGAAATGACGGCAGTAACAATAAGCTTCAACTCTATTCTTACTGGAGGAGTTCAAGTTCTGTCGTGTTTTTAATCAATTTATGCTTTCTACTCTTCAATTGAAAAATATTTGAAATTTGGTTCTGGGTATTTGAGTATTTGATTGCAGGGTTAGATTAGAATATAAAGCTATGAACTTGGTGAAGGAAGAGCAAAACAGTCTGGTGTGTTGGTTTTGAGGATAATTACAATACCAGATGGCGAAAATGGACGCGGGTTTGACTTGATTTGTTTGATAATTGATTTTTTTTTTTTTTTTTTTTTTTTTTTTTTTTTTTTTTTTGTAGAGTTTGGAAAGCTCAATCTCTGGTTATGTGCCGGTTTTGGTAGATGGAGATGTTGTTTTTCTGATTCTTTTGCTATTTTACTGGTCAGTTATTTGATACTCTTTAATTATATTATTGGTGTCTCTCTTTGTTGAATATGGAGGGATTTTTAGTATAAATTGGCCTTGCTTGTAGTATCTGCAAAGAAGTATCCTCAGCATCCATTGTTGCCTTCTGATCTTAAGACAAAAGCTATCAATTTTCAGGTTAATTTCTATTTCATTTCCCTTTATTTATTTCTTTATTGTTTTCAATGACATTTTCTATAATTCAGTAACCATTGTAAAGAAACTGGTTTTTTGTTAATCAAGAATCCTGCTTCTGCTTTTAGAATTGTCTTTCATGATTTTTAGATTTGCAGTAGATGTTCAATTTCATTTTTGTCACTTAGACGTTGTTCCGTGATTTGGGGTGGGCTGGGTATAGTTTTGTATGTAATTTGATTTGTCCTGTGATTATTTCATAGCAATTTGATTATATGAAGCCAGTGATTATTTTTGTTTCCACTTTTTAAATTTATTATTTATAATGCTTTCATTGTGTTTATAAGAATAAGCTTTGTGGGTGTGGTAATTTTTAATTTTTTTTAAGTTCTTAGTTTTAGCGTTGCTAGTTGCCATTAAAATGAGTTTGATGTGCCTTCGTTGCAGCTTTGGATGATTTTTTGGATTCAAGTTTTGGGTGATTATGTTCTTTAAAAAAGATAAATAAATAAAAACCCTTCGTTTTTATTACTATTTTTAGGTGTTAGGCAAGTGAAATGACGGCAGTAACAATAAGCTTCAACTCTATTCTTACTGGAGGAGTTCAAGTCTTGTCGTGTTTTTTTAATCAATTATTGTCTTTCTACTCTTCAATTGAAAAATATTTGAAATTGACTGTATGGTGAACCTTTCTAGATTAGATTAATCAAAATTGCAATCTTGCTTTTCTCTGTTTTTGTTGTAGTGGACGTTGTCATCTGTTCCCTGTTTTTTTCATTGGGAAGCCGAGCAGTTGTCTGTATACTGGAAACGGGATGAATGCTGTTATAAACTTTCCATTTTTTTTTCTTATTCCTTGCTGCTTCTCTGACACACACGCTGGTGTGCTCCCAAAGTCTAGTACTGTTTGCAGACCCTATGTACATGATATTGAACCAAAATGGTTAGCGTGGACTTTTTCTCAATATTGAGTCAGCCTGTGTATTGCAGAGTAGTTATGCTCAATTGGTGACAAATGAAATTCATTGATAACATTTGGTTTTCCATGAAGTTTCAACTTAATGGATTGATTGCTATATTAAGATGATAATGTCCGATCCAAATGTGTCATTGCACTTGCATGTATATTTTCATTAATGATAAAATATCAATTACTTGCCTTTCTTCTTTCCTTGGCCGTCCGCTGGCCTTCACCGCAGTATGGTTATCTCTACCCTTAAATAACTGTATGATCTTGTTAATGAACGGAAGTAATGTAGATTTGCTAAGAACTTTGGTTTGCACTAATATTGCAGGAAATCATAAGAATAGAGAATGAACACCGGATGATAGCCAATGTATTGTCAATGATAGAGTGGAAGGTCTCTTAAGGGTACCAGAGCATTTGGAGCTGGATTTCTGAAAAAGGTTTGTCGTATATCCTTGTAATACTATTTTGTTGCAAGGATTTCTGATAAAAGGTAATTCTGGTTGATGATTATTACTGTTGGTGATTTGTACATCATGGTAGCATATATCTTGTATAGGTGCTCATTGCTTGCTATGTTCTAGTAAATTATATCCTCATGAATAATATTCATCACTACGGTATATGGACAAGACATATGGCTTTTACAGATAATGCAGTGTAAATTAAAATGTTGTTTTTTTGGATATCTTTTAAAAGTGTGTGATAGAGGAAATGTGTATATAGCATTGGAAATGATTCAAGTTGCAGGTCACCTTTATCAGTGCATAAAAATATCATTTTGTGTATGCTGTGTCATGTGAGCAACCGAATATCATTACTTTACTTATTATTTAATGTTTCAATATATGTCCTGCTCTAACAAACCACAGAATATCTCACTGATTTTGCTAATGCTTCACTCATTTATGCATTCTTGCTCTTACAAAACCACACTTGAGCATTACACTTATGTTTCATTTTTTCAATTGATGAAGTTCCCAGGTATTGTTTTATCCAATGGTGTGTTTAAAAACTGCTCAATGATATCATGGCATCTTGGTGCAGCCCAAGTTAACGATTCATTATGGAAATGTTTCGAAATGAGTATATTGGAACTGCTCCATACAATCCTACACGCCTCTCTTCATCACCATAGACTCTGCCCAAGAGATTAATTTTTGATCCTCTCATCCGATGGCTTATATCAGTATCTGACCAATCGGAAGTGGTTTCAAATGTTGAGAGTTTCATGGAGAAGTTTCCAGATGGTGATCCTGCACAGCACCTAATAGAGGAGCTGCTCTTCCATGCAACTGACAAAGTGGGAAAATGTTTTTTCTTTTGCTGCTATTCTTTAAATGCTAATAATCATCAGTTGTACACAAATGTGGAAAAGTAATTATGAGGTTTTAACCTCTGAAACTAAGGGTGTTTTCCCAGTAAATAGTATCAAAGCTTTTTCCATGTCAATATTAAGCCATTTGTCAACTATTTCTCAATGTAAACGTTCTGCATAATTTTTAGTCGTTTTCTTCTGCATTACAACAGGTAATTTTAGTTATCTTCTTAATATTATTAACGTGATTGGTTCGAGTAATTTATTCATGGTTATTGACTTATTGATATGCATTGACTATAATTATAATGTATGTGTAATTATTTAGTTTTTGCTTGACTTATGATTATGCATTTAATTGATGGTAGGAAAAAATGATAAGAGCTGCAAGATGAAACACCAACAGGGGAAAGTGAAAAAACAGAAGCAAAAATATGTGAGAAAGTTCTGGGTAAAGCTTCGGATTTAATCAAAATTTTGAATTTCACACACTAAGCATCATGATACTGCAGCAGAAGCAGAGTTAAGTGCATAGTACAACAAGAAGAAAATAAGATTAAACAGTGGAGGAGCAACTCGTCTTAGTTGATCAACAAAAACATAAATAAAAAGCCTTGAACAACAACAATTTGTCCTGTTGGAGATGATGCAGCAGCTAACTATAGCCCTTGAACTACAACAATCTAATAAAGCTCCAACTCGACAGCCATGTCATCTCCAACTGCTAAGACTCGTCCTTATCAACTACAACTATTTCAAAAACCTCAACTGGTGACACTTGAGATGCTCTAGATATTGATGGTTAGTTTTTGTGTTATAGGCAATATATATTTGACATGGGGTAGGATCATCTTTTTAGGATTGTTTGCATATATATGTTAGATAGGTACATGGGATGGGCATTTTTTGTTAGTTATGCACAGATAGATAGCTAGTGATGAAAATGTGGGTGCTACCTTTGTTTTGGTTATGCACCTATAGTGCATTTTGAATTTTTATTGCTCTTAAGTGATAAAAATTCATGTATGGACTATATATTGAAAATGATATTTTGATGTAGTGTTCAGATTTTTATATTGTGATGGATTATTTTGTTGATGTTGAATGTATAAACTAGGTTAATACAAAATGCTTTTGCCACTATTTTCTAAAAAAAAAACATATTTTGCAATTAATTTTTTAATTGCAAACAGTAATTTTTCATAATTGAATTTCACATTCAGCGTCTAAAATTATAAGAATTAACCACCAATTTGGTCATTAAAAGATACATTCGTTCAGTAATAAAATAGTCGTGAAAACCTTTTGGATTTACATTCAGCGTCTAAAATATTAGAATTAATAATAAATTTTGGTCATTAAAAGATACATTCGGTCACAATAAATAGTCGTGAAAACCTTTTGGTTTCATATTCAGTGTCTAAAAGTATTAGAATTAACCACTAAATTTTGGTCACCAAAAGATACATTCGTCTACTAATAAAATAGTTGCGAAAATTTTATGAAATTACCCTTACACTCTTACCGTCTAATTTTGTGGCATTTACGACAAATTATTAGACACGAAAAGATACATTTTGCAACTAATTGATTAATCGCGATACTATTTTACCAAAGTACCCTTGAACAATTAGCGTCTGGGGGGAGGGACTATTTTAACCAGCAATTAGCGACTAATTTGCTTCGCCAAAAAAAAACTTTCCGCGACTAACCAAAAATTTAGACGCCCATACTTTCTGCGACACGATTTCGCAACTACGTAGCGACCATGAAATTTAGACACGAAAGAGATTTAGCGTCTAAATTTACTTCTACGTCTAATTTTGCTAGACGCCGAAAGACATTTTTCTTGTAGTGATTGTTGCCATTGCAAAGCCATATGAAGTCACCTGAAATGCAATAGATAACATAACTATAATACATGGGCTCTAGATGATTTATAAATAGAGGACACAGACTAGCAGCAGGTGAATTGAGTCAACAGTACCAGAAAAAATTATTTCAGTTACCATTTGAATCATTGCAAACTTATGTGCTCATGATCAAGGTGGTCACAATATCCCCAAGTTATAGTTTTTATGTAAGCTTCCCGCCTTTCATATAAATTAGTCTAAAAAAATCCAAACCTGAACACATATTGACGTGAATACTTGTGTAGAATATCCTACAATTAAGAGATTCACATGGCAATATTCTAATATAAGATATTATCTTTCATAATTATAGGATATTTTCTGTAATATTCTGTAATTAATTTTTTTATTCTTTCCTTGCAAATGTTCTTGTATCTAGCCTATATATGGTAGAATTACAATGAGTGAAATCATCAGAAAATTATTCCACAATTGTGTTTTTTTGACATGGTATCAAGCCTCTTTCAATCTCCTTTCTTTACCCTAAGAATTGTAGTTTGGTATAGTGTTCACAATTGTTGTTTATCATCATATCCGCTGCAAAGTTTTTTGTTATCTTTACTGCCTATGGGTGATTTAGAAGAAAGTAGTAATGATTCTCTAAAGAAGAATGAATCTATTACTATATCGGTTGGCTTCCATATGCAAGAAACTTCTTCTCTAATCACTCCGGAATGACTTGATGGTACCAATTATGTTAAGTGGTCTTTGAATGCTCAAAATAAGATCGATGGGAGGAAACGTTGAGGTTTTATTTCGGGTACTAAGACTACATCAAAAGATGTTTATTCGGAGGAATATGAAGCATGGGAAGATGAAAATTGCTTAGTCAAATCTTGACTCCTTGATGCAATGATAAAGGACATTAGATCTCTCTTCCTTCGATTGGCTACGACAAAGAAAATACGGGAGAATACCAAACAGACATATTTGGTCGACCAGGATGCATGAAAAGTATATCAACTACATTGCAAGGTAATTTTTGTCTGCCACAATGGAGGTTCTGTTTTTTCTTATTTTGACAAACTACAGAAAATATGGCAGGAACTTGATGATATTGATGATTGTACTATGGAGTGTGACAATGGTATTGTGAAATATACCACTAAGGTTAATTCCCAACGTGTGTATATGTTTTTAGCTGGTCTTAACTCTCAATTAGATTGGGTTCGAGGTCATGTACTTGCTACTGAACCTCTTCTAGGTTTACAAGTTGTTTATGCTATGGTTTGTGTGGAAGCTAATTGCCAAGATGCTATGCTTGGAGGAAAAATTGGAGAAGGGGTTGTAATGGCCTCCCAGAAAATGCCTACCTAACAAAAGGATCGAGAATGCACTCATTGTAATAGTATTGGTCATATGTGGATACATACTTTCGAATCCATGGATATCTGGATTGGCACCAATGGGTAAGAAAACGTCTCAGATGTCTTATAGTGTTAAGGAGGAAGACATTAATTTGAAAGGGGATCTAGCCACAACTCTTGGATTAACTGCTAAGTCAGGTATATCTTTTATAGGAAATAGTGATTGGATAATTGACTCTAGTGCAACAGACCATATGACTTGTGATCGTTATAGGCTTAGTTACTTATCCCCTAAATGTTCCAAAACTACTATTACCAATGCCAATGGCGTATCATCTTCAGTTATTGGAGTTGGTACAATCCCGTTATTGCCCACCTTAGCAATCAAAGATTTCTTATTTGTGCCATCATTAAAATGTAATATTCTCTCTGTTAATCAATTAACCAAATCTCATAATTGTAGTGCTCTATTTTTTCCTGCTTATTGTGTTTTTTAGGACATCCATACCAAGGAGAAGATTGGTAGTGGTAGACAAAATGGAGGATTTCACTATCTAGAGGATGGGTTCCAACAATATTCCAATAGAGAAGGGCAAGCTCACTTGCTAAAAGAAGATTTGATGAATAAGAAAAAAAAGGAAATTTGGTTGCAGCATAAAAGACTAGGACATCCCTCTTTTTGCTATCTTAGGAGATTATTTCCCTCTTTGTTTAGTGGATGTCACTTTTCAGATCTTAGTTGTGAAACTTGTGTAATGGCAAAACGTCATCGTACTATTTTCCATTTGAGTAATAATGAAGCAAAATTTACATTTTTCATTAATTCATTTGGATGTTTCGGGACCGGCCCCAATTTCTACTCTTAATAGGACAAGGTGGTTTGTAACTTTTGTTGATGATTG